TCATCCTCTACCAACCCCCCCTGGTCCTTCAGATCCACCTCAGCCGGTTTGCTGTCCACCCCCCCAAGGCCAAACGAGCCTTCTCTGTGGCAGCCCCCGAAGCTCTGGAACTCCCTCCCCCAAGACCTCCGTCAGTCTCAGTCCCTCACCCTGTTCCAGTCCCGCCTCAAGACTCATCACTTCAACTCTGTATATCCATAACCCCCCCCCCCCTCAATCAACTTCCTCATGACTGCCCTTTCTGTCTTATTTTATTTTATTTGTTTTGTTTTATTTAATTAATTTATTATTAGTTTTTGATTTGTTTTGTTTTTGCCTGTCCTTGTTTGTCTACCCTCCCCCCGACTGTAAAGCGTGTTTGAGAAAAGCGCTATATAAATATAATGTATTATTATTAGATGTTAAATCTTGAAAGATTGTCCCCACTACTTTTTCTAGCAAAGTGCTTTGTACGCATTTTGTGTCTCTTTTAGTCCTTTCTTGTCTCTCTTTTGAAGATCACTATATTCTGCATCACTTACATTAAACCTGTTTTACCTATGGCTTTTTTTCTGCCCGAGTTTCTCAAAAGAAATCAAAACGTTCTCATTAATAACCTATTTTAATTAAACTGTACAGTTTGTTCTGTCACTTGAACCCCTCCTATAGGGTTTGCTGTGCAGACTGTATTCTAAATATTCGAAGTATCCCAAAGTTCAGTGATGAATCAACTTTGACGAGAACACCTGTCTTTCTGTCACTTAAACTTGAATTTAGCTACTCTTTTGTCCCCGAATTAAAGGGGACCTATCATGCAAAATGTACTTTTTGATGTCTTTTATACATACGTGTGCCCGCTGTGTCGGGGAACTCACGCAGCGTCAGAAAATAAAACCCTCTCTCTTTTCCTCCGTGATGAAATTGAGTCTGACTTCCCTGACTCAGAGAATATCAGGTCATTCTGATGTAGAGTTTCAAAATAAAAGATCTTCAAAGTCTCATATATGAGCTATCGTCCCTCACATTTTTTAGATAAGTAAATAAGTTTCCAAATCATTTGGAACAAGTGGTCACTATTTGAAAATGTATTATGTGTGTGTGTGTGAGAATATCTAAGTATATATCATAAAATATATGGGGAGTTGATTCTTGTTGTGTTTTTTTATTATTATCTTTTGCTTTGAGTTAATTATTACTTTATTTTCTTTAACAATGAGCAATATCTCATACTACACACTCCGGTTCTGTAGGTGGCGCTGTGGCCTCTATACTGAGAGAAACGGCTGCTTCCTGCCACAAAACCAACAGAAGAAGAAGAGAAACCAGAAGTAAGCTTCTGATTCGGCTCTTAAGGAGAAAGTTAAGGGAAACCTGATTTTTTGAGTTTTTACTGTCTTTTATCCCATTGTTAGGTAAATAAAAGAACTTAAATGTGGGATAATATTTTCCCTCTCCCTACTTTGGTTTATATTGTTGCATACGTAAACACAGTAAGACAAATTAAGTGGTAAAATAAGAAAACAAATTAAAATGAGATGTATAACAACTCAAATTAAACAGATTTTTTCCATGCAAAAAAGTAGCAGTTTACATTTTTATTTTATAGATTTATTTCTATTTTAAAACAATTGAATTTAGTTTTTTTTAGTATGCGAAATGTTTATATCTTTCACTTTTTCTTTCCCAATAAAAAAAGAAGTAAAGTTTTCCCTTTTCTACCATATGATATAATTGTATTTCTATTCACATACTATTCCTTTCTCACTTAAGGTAAATCATATCTTATTTTTACATTGTGTTAGCTGTAATTGGCCCTTCATACATATTAGAATAGAATATCTTTATTGTCATCACACATCAATGTAACGAAATTCAGTTGGCATCTCTCACTGCAGTACATAAATAAGAACACATCCATAAAAGCAGTGATAAAGCAGAGATAGTAGCAATAATCAGGGTCATCACTTAAATGCACTTGACCAGAATGTTAAAATACATTTTTTAAGATTATTTAATAAAGAAAAGCTACAATGTTTAAATATAAATAATTACTACAAATATCTGTTTGATACTTAATACATATTATATTATATTCTTATCATTAAATGAAGCTCAGCTCAAGTTCTTTCAGGAAGACTGGTACATTAACTCCGCAGCTGCTTATAATCAGCTCATCACTGGCTTCCATTCTCCAGCAGCCAATCAGCGTGCTGCAGCCAAACTTTAAAATGGTTCTCCTCTCTCCTGCAGTCAGCTGTGATTTCAGGTGTTCATGCTGCCGCCCGCCTCCTCTCCATCCACCTCCTTTCATCACATCCAGTGCCAGGAGAGCAAACCCAAAGACCTCATCACAACCCCTCTTCATCCCATCTCCTCATCAAATCCAGATCTTCATCATCATCACCAGTGTCTAGACCCCGGGGGGTTCCCTATATGCTCACGGCTGCATTTCCCCCTTTAGATATACGATTTCAGGATCGGGGTCTAATCGCCAAAGTCTTAACATTTATCATATGCCATGTGTCAATACATTTTCTTTACCAAAATGAAGTCTCTCCTGATTGAACTGTCAATACTTCTATAGTTTACTTGTTAGTCCTGTTTAATTTCTATTTTGTGATGTTTATAGTTTACGTTTGTTTATGCTCTACTCTGTTTTCATGCTGCTGTGACGAAAACAGTGGCTGAATTGGTTATCTTTGTCTTATTCATGCATTTCAATTACTTGTGTTAATCTTTGTGAGTACATAACATGTCTGTACCTTTCCCCCCCAAAAACATTATGATACCAATAATTTAAGTTTTCCCACAAGTTCTCCCTTGTATTGCCAGCTAAAATCTCGCCATGGGCTGCAAATTGTCGTGTGTGTGTGTGTGTGTGTGTGTGTGTGTGTGTGTGTGTGTGTGTGTGTGTGTGTGTGTGTGTGTGTGTGTGTGTGTGTGTGTGTGTGTGTGACATTTGTAAATAAAACTTTTGGCCCGTAATTCAGCCTTCCTCGACATTGAGAAGCATCCTGTGTGCTCTTGGGCAGAAGAGCACACAGGATGTCACCCACCCATCTTAAAACTGTACATATATTGGGTAAATAAAATCCGTATTTTTGCACCTCAACCTGCATTCTTGATTTTTGCGTATAACGATATTGAGTTTGTTCGTGTGCGATCTCTTTGGATATGTGATTGTTTAAATAAATAATAAAAATAAGTAGCGTTTCCCCTCAAGTTCCCCCTTATCTTGGAAACAGCCATCCTGAGTCATAAAAAAAGTATAAAAACTAAAATTAGTAATATGTGCTAACTTATAATGTAGAGGTATATATTATTTACCTTGTGTTTGATTAATTAATGGTTTGTTTTAATATATTTCTATTTCAAACATTTCCCAAATTGGGATCAATAAAGTGCATTCGAATTAAATTAGTAAAAAAGTAGTTGCCCTAGTATTACATAGATATTTTACATTTGTATAGATAGATAGATACTAGATAGATGGATAGATAGATAGATGGATGGATGGATAGATAGGTAGAGAGATAGATGGATAGATGGATGGATAGATAGATGGATGGATGGATGGATATATATATAGAGATATATATATATAGATAGAGATGATAGATAGAGATATAGAGAGAGAGGTACTTTATTGATCCCAATTTGGGAAATGTTTGCGTTGCATCAGCAGAAAAAAAAGGCAATGTACATGAGAGAAATGAAGACACAAGAAATAAACAGTCCAAAAATATTTCTGAAATAGAAATTAAATAGCATTAAAAGGAAGAAAAAAAAGTCTATATATATATACGTGGATGTGGAAAATATACATGTGGAAATACAACATAGAATTACGAAATACGTAGTTTTATTTGTAGGTTTGAATTAACTATATCGATATTGTTAGTGTGTGGACTCTTTGGATATTTAATTATTTAAATAAATAATAAAAACAAGTTAAGTTTTCCCTTTAGTTCTCCCTTAAGTTCTCCCTTATCTACCACCGGAAACATCCGTCCTGAGTCTGACTTCCCTCGCGCTCAGCCATTAGCTGGCTGCTCGGAGTGATTGACAGTCAGCAGAGGTTTACACGGCCGGTCCTGCTCACTCGCTCGTTTGTTATCGTAACAGCGAAGAAACTGCAAGCATGGCGAGCCAACAGAGAGCCCAGTCTCAGACAAGAAGAAGAGCACCGTGTATCGGATTATTGAGGATGATATTTATTGCTTTTATTCACATGACGCGGGCCAATAAACAAGGTTTGTAACTTAGCTGTTAGCATTAGCATCAGAGCTAACTTCCGTAGACATGTTTCCCTCAAGTGTGCGGGCGTTGTGGTTACCTCTACGGGCCAACTTTA